AGGGCTTAGGGCTTTGGGGTTTGGGTTTAGGGTTTAGGGTTTAGGGATCTCAGACTAAGCTACCAGGATCAGGGCCTTTTAAGGCTTGAAGGCGGTGTCATAGGGGTCAGAATCTGAACCGTAATGGCAGATGATTCACGATATATCCCTGCTGCCATGGTAGCGGAAACTAAGATCCTTACGAAGAACTTACGAAGAACCCAGAGGTACTGCAGTATCACCTGGAGCACGACCGGCCTTTTGGATACGAGCTGGGAAATGAGCCAGACCCGCATTGCCCCGATCCTAGCAACCCAAAGTGCGCAGTGTCCGTGACTCAGTAGCTGAGTGGTAAACTTTACACTTTTTGGGATAATATTACCTACTATAAAACTGGAAGTGTACACTTTTCTGGGCTTATGAACTCAGCAACTAAGGTGAAGGAACACGTGCACGATGACCTCATGCTCTCTCAGCTGCTCCAGTACACATATGCCTCAGCAGGAGTTGGCAGCGACCATCTGCCCCTGGTGATAGGACCTGATGCAGCTCACTGCTGTGATTATCTGGAGAACTTCACAGCCGCTGCAGCAACTGCCAGATGGGAGCCAGACGTGCTGACCTGGCACCACTACTACTTTGACAACCAGTCCCCGGTATCTAAATTTGTGGACCCACGGACATTGGACTCCCTCCAGTCATTGGCAAACTTGACAGTGGCAATGCGAGATAAGTACACTCCGCACAGCATGCTATGGGTCGGGGAGAGCGCCAGCGCCTGGGGTGGCGGTGTTCCCCATGCCTCGGACCGTTTCGCGGCTATTTTCACAGACCTGGACCAAGTGGCCACGCTGTCGAGGCTAGGATACACCGGCGTGGTGCGGCAGGGGCTCTTCGGCAGCGGAGGGTATTCGGTCATCTCCACTGCGGATGAGGGGTTGACGCCCAACCCGTCATACTGGGCATACTTGGCATACAAGCGCTTCATGGGGGTCAGAGTGCTCGATGCCGGGGAACTGGGTGGCTACGTGAGGAGCTATGCGCACTGCCACCCGACTCTTGCTGGTGCCCTAACCGTGATGGTTTTGAATGTTTCCCCGAAACCGAGCACGGTCAAGGTGCCTGGGGTGTTCTTGGAGATGATTTTTTTAAGTTTTAAGGACTATAATCCCTATATAGCCATATAGAACCCATAAGAATTAAATTTAAGGACTATAATCCCTATATAACCATATAGAGCCCATAAGAATTTACTATATAACCATATAGAGCCCATAAGACTTTTGATTTTTTTTATAGGGCTTCTGAATCCGGCCCAGGTGCTGCTGTCCTCCATCAGCTTGGCAGTGGGACCTCGAAAGTCTTGGGCGGAGTACCACCTGACGATGCTGGGCTCATGTGGAGAATGTTAATCCCCAGAGACTCCAATACCCCTTAATTAAGGAAGATACCCTAAATCATATTAGGGATCCTACTATAATTCAAGGTATATTCCTTAATTAAGGGATATTGGAGTCTCTGGGTCTTAAGTCTTACCTAAACCAAAGTTACCATCATTGGGATGTGCAGTAAAAAGTAGGCTTTCTTGATTCTGGAGATTGAAGCGAAATTCCTTAGCAAGACAAACGCAGGATGCCGGCAGCAGCCGGCGTCAACTTGACGACTACAGACATCGCCGTGAACGGGAAGGTGATGAAAGCGCACGAGGATGGCACTGTTCCTGCCTTCGTCCCCAAGCAAGGGCGCGGAACCTCTGTTACACTCATGCCGTACTCCGCTGCCTTCTTGGTCTTTGAGAACGCGCAAGCACCTGCATGTATCGGCGCAGACCCTGTCTTGGAGACGATACATCAAAGCTCACCAGACGTCAGGGTGATGCTCTTGTGACGCGACGACGTTATGAGAAAATAGCAGCTGCGCCAATACTGAATAGCTACCCTGACCTTCAGGTTGTCCTCTAGCCTGCGCTGTACACCAGGCTGAGAGAGAGGAAGGCGGCTATTCGTAGCGTTCGCGCACCGATACAATGCTTCAGCGTCCATGGCTACTTCGCACATCAGGTGCAGCGACCTAGGTCATTCTAGACCCTAAACCCTAAACCCTCTTTTGTGCAGCATGCCGCGCAGGAGGAGTTTGGCCGTCACAAGAAGCAGGCACCAAGGGCGTGGTGGGCGCAGGGGATGAGACAGTACAATTATATTGATAGTAGCATAGTGTTGTATTATAGTATAGTATATTATATTCGGGGTGAAGGGAGGGGGGGGGGTAAGGAACGGTTCCATCATTTTGGGGGTCGTTACATGGCACATCCCAGACCTACTGTTGATGATATAAATCCTGCATTACCTGAAGGACCCTAAATTATGGAAATTATGGCATACTCCATATTACGGGTAATGCAGGATTTATGTCATCAACCGTAGTCGTAGTTCTACTTGGAGCCCGACATCGCAATGCCCTCAGCCCCGACAGCCCAAGCCCTAAAACCCTAAAGCCCTAAAACTCTAAAAACCTAAACCCTAAACCCTAAACCCTCAACCCTCAACCCTGAGCCCTAAACCCTAAAACCCTAAATCCTAAACCCCGAAGCACCAACAACTCCTGAATCCTAAGCCCCTAAAAAACAGAACCCATGGCCCAGGTCGATGCCAAGGAAAAGCCAGGAGCTTAAGGTTTTTGCGGCGTTTCGGGTTTCTAGGGCTCAGTAGGGTTGCTGCTTTAGGGGGGTTTAGGGTCTAGGGCTTTGGGCTTGGGGGGTTTGGGGGGTTTAGGGTTTAGGGCCTTAGGGCTCAGGCATTGGGGTATGGGGTTTCGGGTGTGGGCTTCGATTGTTCAGGTGATCGGGGTGTGAGGTGTACCCGAATACGCCCCAGCACCCTATTCTGATCATCGATGTCCCGATGCTAAAGCCCAACACCGTACAAGAATCTCTCATGAATGAATCCGCACGAGCTTAAACCGTAAATAACCGCTAGGCTGTCAACCGTAAGCCCTAAACCACCACGGTTTCACTTGACTTTGATTGTATCCACATCGCTATGGCATTCTAAATCGCCAGTCTTAATGCCTGCAGGTAGCAACTGTGACTGCCCTCGAACGGAGGGCGTAACCCCGTCTTCGCGGCGTAGGGCCTAGGGTTTGGGCTCCACCCCACCTTGTCATGTCCAAAGCTTCCAGCCAGAATGCCCTAAACCCTAAACCCTAAACCCTAAACCCTCAAAAGACGGAGACCTCCAAACCTGGAGTTTAGTCAGCTGTGAACCTCCCCGAGACCCAACTGAAGTCGATGAATCGGTTTAGGGTTTAGGGTTCAGGGTTCGGGGTTTAGGGTTCAGGGTTTAGGGTTTAGGCTTTAGGGTTTAAGGTGTAGGGTTTAGAGGTTTAGGGGTTAGGGCTTAGGGCTTAGGGTTTAGGGTTTAGGGAATCCTCAAGTCCGGTGAAACGGATACGATTCTAGGAGTGTTTTAGGGGAGAGATCATGGCCGGAGCAGCCCACTGAGGCCTCAACCCCCAAAAGCCAAGCCTGAACTCCTAAACCCCCTTGAACAAACACTGAGCCCACTATATTGGGAGCTAGGATTACGGGGACCCTTGGGGATATAGACCCTCTCAACAAGGTCCCTTTTAAGAGAGCCAAAAGTAGGGTTCAGAAGGGGTGCCCTTTAAGGGGTACCCCTAATAATACTACCTATATATGGGTAGTTTTCTAAATTGGGGTCCCTTTTTAGGTTCCCAATATAGTACGGCACCCTTATCAAAAGGGACCCTAAAAGGGATCCTCATTTAGACAACTACCTTTCTTATCCGAAAACCGTGAGCCTTACACCCCAAGCGACAGCGAGTGGCCTGGCTCTGAGGTTTCTGGAGGGTTTAGGGGTTTAGGGGTTTAGGGGTTTAGGGTTTAGGGTTTAGGGGTTTAGGGGTTAAGGGGTTTAGGGTTGAACCCACATCAGCAACACCAGTGAAGTGATAGCGTCTGATAGAGAACCATAATGATATCTACACATTTATGTATTTATCTGTGCATCCATATATATATATATGCATATTTACCCCTGACTCGTACAACTCTCGTAGAACGGGGATCCTAAGATGAATGCGCCCTAAACCCTAAACCCTGAACCCTCTGTAATTTCATATGGTATGAACCGTCACGAGCAGCCGAGGCTGAAGATCTCCCACGGCCACGGTGATCCAGAGCATTTGGAGTCAGCCTTGCGGGAGGCGCCTCTGGGTTTAGGGCTTTCTGAGACCTTTAGGGGTTTAGGGTTTAGGGTTTAGGGTTCAGGGTTCCGGGTTTGATTTAGGAGTTTCGGGTTTAGGGTTTAGGGTTGATTATGCGGGATGGAGGTCTTCAAACAGTGACCAAGCTCAACACAGAACAGACCCGTTGGTGTCTGTCGCAGCCCTGTCGTACTCTTTCGTGGAAGCCGATTGCTCCGAACCTAAGGTACTAAAGTGGCCGCATTGGAGCAGTTTGGGTTTTGCTTGGAGGGCTTTTGGCACCCGGCTGCCGATGCTTGTGACAAAGTCACTTCGCTTAAGGCTTGGTGGACACTATCTGATGTGGGCGTCGGAATAATTGCGATAATTATGCTTATAGTGTAAACATATGACTATAGAGAAGGAAAATAGCGAAACAAAATGAACCCCCCTTTCAGGCCCTGTTAGAACTGTTTAAGGTTTTGGGTAGCCCGGTCCTTAAACCCCTAAAGCATGTAGCTCACCGAGGAGTTAAATCCTTGAGCCTACACACACAAATCATATATATATATATATATATGTATATGGGAGTTTCCGGAAATTAGGGGTACCTTATTTTGGGGTCCTTATGATAAGGATCCTACTATTTAGGGTACTATATTAGGGGTCCCCCAATTTTCGGAAGCCCTCCCATATATATATATATATATGTATGTATGTACGTATACATATATATATATATATGTATACACACGTCTATATAATACGTTGCATTTCAGATACTGTATATTGGATGCTAGATTTCAGGTTGTAGATAGTACATTACTTGTAGGAAAAGCCCTGAAACAGGCCGAGGGATGTGGCATAGAGGACGAGCACCTACTGCAGGCGCAGGTGCTGACATGGAAAGACGAAAATTCTAAGAGTTGGGGCCCTTCGTGGCTTAGTGAGGGCTTAGGCTTAGGCTTAAGGGCTTAGGGCTTACCCCTAAACCCTAAACCCCTAAACCCTAAACCCTAAACCCTGAACCCTAAACCCTAAACAGGGCCTTTCAGCTGGGCAGAGTAGGGCAATGTAAGTCATTGATATCGGGCTCCAGGGGCTTTGGGCTGTAGTTTGGGGTTTCGGACTTCAGTTTAGGGTGTCCGGCTTTAGTCTAATATAGGGGCCTAAGACATTACCAATACTAGTTTGGGGTTCCTTCTTAAAGCTATATAATTACTATACCCAAACCCTACTCTAATTATTAAGACCGGGCGTTGGTCTCGGGTCAGGGTTTCGCAGTTCAGCTCAGAGAGTCCGGCTTCAGTTTGAGTTTTTTTTGGCAATTTCACTGCAAACCTCTACAGTGGAAGTGCTTACAGACTTACAGCCCCCTTAGTCCGTATGGTTGTATTATAAAATACCGCAAAGCCCCGACGAAAAAACCTTGCCAAATCCCCACAAAAAGCCCGCACAAGACTTGTAAACATCCTGTCGAACTCTCAAGGCCCCGATACTATCTTAATGTAGGGGCCTGAATAATAAGAATAGGGTTTTGGGCTCCTTTATGGTATAGAAATTATAACAAACCACAAAGAATAATGTTGGTACTTATTTAGGCTTCCATAGTAGGAGGGGTCATGGGCCGATAAAAATCCTTCCCGGTCCCTCGATATCGAGGCCTCCCCACGCCAGAGACAGAGAAGCCCAAGAAAACATTTCCTAAACCTTAAACACTAAACCCTATACCCTAAACCCTGAACGCCAAACCCCAAATACTAAAGCCCTAAACCCTAAACCCTAAAACCCTAAAGCCCTAAACCCTAGAACCCTAAAGCCCTAAAACCCCAAATCCTAAAACCCTAAACCCCTCAAACCCTGAACCCTAAAACCGTAAAGCCCTAAATCCTAAAACCCTAAAACCCTAAATCCTAAAACCCTAAAACCCTAAAGCCGTAAAGCCCTAAATCCTAAAACCCTAAAGCCCTAAACCCTGAACCCTGAAGTCCAGAGTGGTGGCCCGACAATCCGAATTCCTAGACATGTATGGGTTTTGGGTTTTAGGGTTTTAGGGTTTGAGGGTTTTAGGGTTTAGGGTTTAGGGTTTTAGGGTTTTAGGGCTGTAGGGTTTAGGGTTTGAGGGTTTTAGGGTTTTAGGGTTTTAGGGTTTAGCACTCTGTTCGCATGGAAAGCTCTGCTGCGCCAGTCCCGCTTGCGCGAGCTGCGCACGGCGGAGCAGCTCGGGCTTCAAAGTGACGGGTTTAGGGTTTAGGGTTTAGGGGTTCAGGGGTTTAGGGTTTAGGGCTTAGGGTTTAGGGTTTAGGGGGGTCTGACAGGGCATGGACGAGGTGGCCGAAGGTGAAAGACGTTTGGCAGGTTTCAGATTTCAGGGAGCTATAAAACCCTAAACCCTAAATCCTATACCCTAAACCCTAAACCCTATACCCTGAACCCTATACGCAAAACCCTAAACCCTATACCTTAAACCCTATACCCTAAACCCTAAACCCTATACCCCAAACCCTAAACCCTATACCCCAAACCAGGTTCTTCCAAGGGTGCTTCTTTTGGATCTGACTCTGTCGACTACAGAGCAGCCAACAGGTTCCCTTAGGAACTGATGTGCTTGTGAAGTGCATCAGGTTAATATAGGGGCTTTAATAATTAGGTTTAGGGTTTAGGGTTAGGGTTTAGGGTAGGGG